TAAGCCCTATACCCTAAGCCCTAAATCCTTTACCTAAACCCCTATACCCCACACCCCATACCCTAAACCCCTATACCCTAAACCCCATACCCTTAACCCTAAATACTAAACCCAAGGGATTGCCAGTTAATGAAGCCCAAAGGCTCCGTTTTCAGCTTCTGGGTTCTACCCTATAAGCCCGAAGCCTAAACCTGACCGTAGGGCCCTAATTTCGGTTTTGGGTTTCGGGCTTAGGGGTTTAGGGGTCAGGGTTTCGGTTATGATGTGGGTTTAGGATATAGGGCTTAGGGTTTGAGTTCCACAACTTCTATAAATCAACTACCTACTAAGTCCCCAGAGAACCCAATACCCCTTAATAAAGGAATAGACCTTAAATCATAGTATTAAGGCCCCTATAATTTAAGGTATATTCCTTTTTTTGTTAAGGAGTATTGGGTTCTCTTGGTCTCCCGACCAAACCCCCTAAACCCTAAACCTTAAACCCTAAACCCTAAACCCTAAACCCTAAACCCTAAGCCCTAAGCCCTAAACCCTAAACCCTAACCGTTCTTAGGAGTCTCTTGCCACCAGGCTCTGTCCTGCCGACTTCGAGCGTCACATCGAAGTGCTAAACGCCGGGGCCCTCGATTAAGGCTCCCTGGACCCATAGCTAGAAACCCTACAGTTTCTCGATTTAGGCTCCCTGGACCTTTTGCTAGAAACCCGACAGTTTAGGGTTTAGGGTTTAGGGCCTAAGCCCTAAACCCTAAACCCTGAACGTAGCGTTCGGGGTTTGTACAGGCCTCAGGGCTGAGAGCTTGTTTTCGGTTTTGGGTTTAGGGTTTAGGCGCAGGAGTTGTTCCATTCATGATTTAGTAGCTTGGGATTTGGGTTTATAGTTTAGGGTTAGAGCCTCTTCCTTATACAGAGATTCTGAGGGAAGAAGAGGATGCCATGAACACAAAGTGGCCGTAGAGTGCTCCTTAATTTGGCACGCTGGGTGGGTACATGAACTCCGTCTACAAAATCCGTTAACACAAAACAGTAGCACTAAACCTAAACCTGCAACACACATTGACCACCTGTAGTAATTGTAGCGTCTTCCACATTTGGTTTAGGGTATAGGGTTTAGGGTTCATGGAGACAACCATTCAAGGTGGCCTTTGGATGGTGCGGTGTGTATGGCGGTTGACCCCCGCAACTGTGTGCAGAAGCGCTACCGAGGCCCGTGTCATTGGCGACAACTAGGTCCATACCAGCCATTTAACCAGACCCCTTAACCCTAAACCCTAAACCCTAAACCGGACAGAATGGTGGCTGTGAAGCTTAACAGTGGCTTCTCGCTGCAGGATGCTGCTCCAGTCTTCCACGCAACAGATTCTTATGCCAAGCATCGCCGCCGACTGCTTGCATGGTACAAGAAGAAGTTCAAAATCCCAGTGTTGGGCAGTGAGCTTAAGCCCTGCACCCCTATCCCACTGCCTCACTGCAGACCCATGAACGCTTTAGGGTTGAGGGCTCGCCGTAAGCCCAAGCCTCTGTCTTCGCGCCTCACAGCAGACCTACGAATACTCTGGGTTCCTATCATAAAGCCCTAGAGCTAGCACTACGAATACTTGGCTTCCTATCATAAAGCCCTTGCTAGCTATGGATACTTGGGCTCCTATTCTAAAGCCCTAAAGCCCTAGATCCTGACACTAAGCAACCCTAGGCCCTAAACCCCTAAACCATCAATCAACCCCAAAGCTCAGCCCCAAAACCCTGAGGATCCGCTGCGCGACATCCTTCCCCGGACCCCCAAACTGCCCTTTAACGGAGCCCCTATGGCGTAAACTCAGTACTCGTACACTAGTACACTTTAAAACCCTAAACCCTAAACCCTAAACCCCTACACCCGCAACGCCTAATATAGGGGCTGTAATAATCAGGTTATATGAAACGCTAACTATAAGGAGGAACCCTTACAATAGTATTGGTAATGATCTAGGCCCCTAAAAACAAGCCAAGCCGAAGGCAGCAGCTCACAAATGGCATCGGGCTAGCGGCAACTGGTGGCCTGGCATTATCGCCTTTTTGGGGTTAGGGTTTAGGGGTTTAGGGGTTTAGGGGTTTAGGGTTTAGGGTTAAGGGATTTAGGGTTTAGGGGTTTAGGGTTTAGGGCTTAGGGGATTAGGGTTTAGGGCTTCGTGATTTAAGGGTGTAGGGTTTACGGTTTAGGGGTTTAGGGTTTAGGGTTCAGGGTCCATGTACTTTCATTAAAGGCTTCCTTCAAGGGTACCACAAGGGTTCTGGCAAGGGTTCTATAGGGTTTAGGGAAGAAGGCTCCATGTACCCATGCAGTACATACTTTGACCCTTTGAGTACCTATATATATATATATATATATATACATATACATATATGTACACACAAAAAGAGTACATGGACCCTTGGATAGAGGTCCCGATAATCACGGTAGTTGTTGGCAGTCGTACGGCTGATGGACGAGAAACCTTGCGCTATAACCCATAGTTTGATGGCGGATGTGGCGTAACTCCCATAGTAGAGTGATGGAGAGTTTTCGTCCATCGGCCTTATCCCAGATAGCCTCGTCCCAGATAGCCCCGATATACGAAATCTTTGGATACAACCCCGAAGCCCAAGTCTGTAGACACTAGGCCCCAGCGGGTCTCGGTGGGTCAGATGACTTCGGGGTTCATCCTGTCTTGGGTGACTTGGGGTGTCGGGTCTAAACCCTAAACCCTGAACCAAACGGCTGATGATGTAAATCCAGCATTACCCATAATGAGGAATCAGGAATGTAACATATTTCCCATAGTTTAGGGTCCTTAACCCTAAACCCTAAACCCTTGAGGTAATGCAGGATGATCAACAGTAGTTTAGGAGGTGCCTGCCGGCTTGTTTGGAAGATTTCTCTTTGGGTTTCGGTCGGGCTTTATGGGCCTTAGACGATTTGAAGATATGTGTTCTTAGTGTTTACGGGTTTGGGGGTTGAGAATCTCGACAAGATGTTTTGCATAGTTGTGGAAGCTCTGCATTGTACCCGGTCCTCCATTCTTCACGGTGGCACGCCTCCAACATCAAAAAACGAAGCCTTGACCCCTAAAAAGTAAACCCTCGACCCTTGCAGTCATGATCCCGGTAAGGGTCCATGTCCCATAAGGTCATGTAGGGGCCTTAAGAATTAGAATCCCCCCAAAAAATAGTATAGGTAGTTAGTATACTTCATCCCTATAGAGTGGCTATGTAGGAACCCCTTCGAGGCCGAGATCTGTGTGTTTCTATGCGTATCTGCATGTTGCATGCGTATGTCATGTATACGCATGCGCATACACATACGCATAGGTACTATATGTAATGTGTATATGCATATGTAGAGATTGTATAGATGTACGTATGTATACACATACAGTCAGATTTAGACCTAATGCAACTCTATTCTATTATCTTCTATTGTGTTCTTCACTATGTTTTCATTGTTTAGTGTCTCGCTCTCTCTCTCTCTCTCTCTCCCTCCGTGTATATATGTTGTATGTATATATATATATATATGTATACACTGTGCATTTCTATTTATGCAGTGTGATAATAGATAGATAGATAGATGGGTAGGTAGGTAAGTGGATAGATGGATAACAGTAACGGAACCCATATAGCTACGTGGACCCTTGGTGAACCCGGTACCTATTGGAGCGTAAACTCTGAAACCTCAACTCCTTCCCCCAAAAAATAATGAGTACCCAAACAGGAAGGTGTCAGGTCCCAAAATCCATACTCTGAATGCTTTCTGGACCTTGAAACCCTACTATTTGGGTACTTGGACCCTTAGGGCCATGCATAGTAAGATTGCAAGGTGCCCTAAAAAATGGTCCTATCAAGTACAGCACCAAACACTGTGAATCTGCAAGGCTGCTGAGAGTAAGCACCTAAGCCAACACCTTGCACAATGAAACCTGAAGAGGGTGTCAAGATACCCTGCTTTAGGGTTTAGGGATTAGGGGCCCTGCAAAGTAGTTCGATCCTGGTTACAAGGACCCCCAGCAAGTAAAGGGATCCGGGATTTCGAGCCCCTTAACAGCGTCAACCCTAAACCCTTGTAGAACCCCTAGAATCCCTCAAGACGCCCTTAAGGAAATCGAAGCTCTCCTGGGAATGCCTGAAAGGAACTCACAGAGGAAGCTGTAAAGGAACCCTTAACGAACCCAGTCAACAATGACCCTCGAAGAACCCCTGCACGGAACCTTTCAAGTAATCCTGAAATCAATTGTAACAGGGACCAGTAGAGTAACCCTAGACCCCTAAACCAACCCTAAAACCCTAAACCCTAAACTGTAAACCTGTAACCCTATTTAAAACAACCCTAAAACCCTAAAGCCTGAGGTACAAGATCCTGACGCTTTGTGACGAGGCCTGTGTAGCGCGCGCCTAAATCTTAGAGACGCCTGAAAGCCCGTCATTCAGGGGGTTCAAGATTCAGGGTTGATAGAACTTGAGCCCTAAACCCTAAACCCATAGTATCTGTAAGGCACTGTACGGGTTCATGTATAGGAGTTGTGTAACTAGGGGTGTGGTGGGGCTCTCCAGGCTTCGAAACGCAAAAGGATTTTGTAGAGTTTCTTAGGTTTAGAGTTTAGGGGCTTTGTGTTTAGGGCTTTCAGGGTTTAGGGGCTTTGTGTTCAGGGGTTTTAAATAAACCCTAAACCCTAAACCCGGGTTGAGGTTGCAGCCTCGTCAAGGGCTTCTAGGCTAGATACAGGCCCAGTTGCTTGTAACGTAGACCCGTCCACCCCGGGGCCAAAATAATTGCCCAGACTGTTTTGGGGTGTTTTTTATGATCATAGTATAATTGGCCCCAAAACCCTATTCTAATTGTTAAGACCCCTAGATTGCTAGGCCCCCCTCAGCGTTAGATATCTTGCTACGCATTCTACGAGGGATTCGAAGGAATGCTTGTGAAGCTGAGGAAAGGGCAATCATCGACCAAGTTGTGAGGAGCCCTAAACCCTAAGCCCTAAACCCTGGAGCGAGCCCCTAAACCCGAAACCCTAAACCGTGGAGCGATCTTCGGAGCGCCACCTGGAAGGATGCTCATGGTGCCATAGATGCATGGAGGTGAGGTGCCCAGAGACTCCAAAATCCCTTACTTAGGGAATATACCTTCAAATTATAGTAGAATCCCTAAGTAAGATTTGTTTCCGACGGCGGCTCCCGCGGCTCGCCCTGATCTTTTCAAGACAGGCCTTGACAAGTCAACTATTCGACCCAGAGAACCCAATACCTCTTAAATAGGGAATATTCCTTAAGTTATAGGGGCCTCAATATGATGATTTAATGTTTATTCCTTAATTAAGGGGTATTGGGTTCTCTGGGGATGTCCGCAGAAAGGGCGCCTACCTCAGAAGGACCCAGCAATGCCATGCTCATGCTCTCAAGACGTCGGCTGCTATCCACCGATGGCTTACGACGATACCGGTGGGCAGCGCCGTGCATGGCCTAAACCCTAAACCCTAAACCCTAAATCCTAAACCCTAAACCCTAAACCCTAAACCCTAAACCCTGAACCCTAAACCCTAAACCCTAAACCCTACTCATGTCTGCGAAAAGATCCGGCAAGGAGGATTGCGAACAGCTTCGGGGGGGCAGGCTCTCTCCCAGCTCCCCCGCGCTATACACTTCACCACGACTATAGGGTTTAGGGTTTAGGGTTTAGGGTTATTGCAAATTCAGGTTTCGAATCCGAGGACAACCTCATGAGGCATACAACTGTCGTGTTTGGGGTAGGGTTCCCCTCCTAAGGTTCATAATATAAATCCTGCAGTACCCATCATAAGGAATAGACCATAATTCGAATAGTCTAGGGTAATCTAGGCTTTATATCATCAACAGTATCTTCATAAACCTACGCGAAACCTATTCGGGCCTCGACATCGGGGCTTCAATCCTCAGTTTCAAGTTTCGGCAACTTAAACCTCATAGACTCATAAGTCCATAGTCAGAAAACGCGACAATCCAAACCCTTAGCCCTAGGCCCTAAACCTCCAAAATCTCAGAGGTTTGTTCTGCCATTTTAAGCCGAGCTCTCTGCATTCGGGATCCGCAAGAGCCAAACGGACAGTTAGACTTGGCCAAATGGGTCCAACATCAAAGACTTAAGACTTAAAGCCCTTAGATGCATAATTGCCAAACCCGAAACTCTAAACCCTAAAACCTAAACCCCAAACACTAACCTTAAACTCTAAAACCCAAACCCTAAACCCTAAGGTCAGTGCGACCGCGTGCATCGGCTCCCTCCCCCCACACCCCACAGCCAGGAGAAATCTGGCAAACTGAGCTTCGAGGAGTTCAACAAGGTGGAGTTCTACCCAGGAACCCTCGATCCCTGTAAGCGCATACGGGTAGTTCTCTACATTAGGGTCGCTTTTGAGCCCAGATGGGCAGTTCTCTAAATTAAGGTCCCTTTTGAGCCCGTATGGGTAGTTCGCTAAATTAGGGTCCCTTCTTAGCCTATATGGGTAGTTCTCTAAATTCGGGCCCGCTTTTAACCCGCATGGGTAGAACCTTGTACTTGCTGGTTGTGGCACCCTTCTCAGACTCGCGCCCGAGCACCTCTCGCAAGTCAATCTTGCTGCGTCTCTCACGGACTTGCTGCTTCCCAGAGACTCCAAAACCCCTTAAATAAGGAATATACCTAAATTATAGGGGCCTTACTATTATGATTCATGGTATATTCCTTATAATTAAGGGGTATTGGGCTCTCTGGGTACTTCTTGCCGTGCTTGGCCGCCTGCCACAGGAACCAATAGTCTCTTTTGCTGCTGTGATGCCGAGAGCTGCAGCAGCTTCACACAACTACATGGACGGCTTCGTTGTCATGGAGCTTCCAGACTCAGAAAGGGAGGCCGGTGTTCTGCGGGATCAGTCGTTGGACGGTTCACTCCTCCTGGCCATGACAGTCGACCACGGCACCCTCATTGCAGGGATGCTGGCGCCAGGCCAAGTCAAACGACGCTACACGGCTGCGTTGAATGGCTGTCTACAAGCAGGCGAGTGCCGCCCGCTTCTAAAAGCCCTAAACCCCAACAGGAACACTATTAAAAACCCTAAACCCCAAAAAGCCTTAAACCCCAACAGGAACACGACTAATTAAAAGCCTCAAACCGCAAAGGAAACGCTACTAAAAGCCCTAAACCCCAAAAGGAACGTACTAAAAGGCCTTATAACCCCAAAAGGAACGCTACTAAAAGCCTTGAACCCCAACAGGAACACTACTAAGTAAAAGCCTCAAGCCCCAAAGGAAATGCTACTACAGGTCCTAGACCCCAAAAAGAACGCTACTAAAAGCCCTAAACCCCAACAGGAACACTACTACAAACCCTAAACCCCCAAAAGCCTCAAACCCCAACAGGAGCACTACTAAAAGCCCTAAACTCCAAAAGGAACGCTACTAAAAGCCCTAAATCACAAAAGGAACGCTACTAAAAGCCTTAAACCCCAACAGGAACACTACTAATTAAAAGCCTCAAACCCAAAGGAAACGCTACTAAAAGCCCTAAACCCCAAAAGGAACGTACTACAAGGCCTTATAACCCCAAAAGGAACGCTACTAAAAGCCTTATACCATCAGGAACACTACTAATCCAAAACGATTGCTACTAGAAGAGCCCTTCGTCCAGGTCGTTCGAAAAAACTTCCCAGGTCTCTCGATCAGCGGGGGACCTCAGCAACCATGGTTCGATACGGTGGGTTTAGGGTTTGGGGGTTTAAGGTTTAGGGTTTTGGGTTTGGGGGTTTAGGGTTTCGGGTTTGGGGTTTTGGGGTTTAGGTTTTTTGGTTTAGGGCTCCTTCTCAAAGGGTCCAAGTGCAAATAGGGTAGCTACTTTGCAGGTATTTCGCACCTAAAGTATATACTATACTATACCATACCCCAAACCCCAAACCCCAAACCCTAAACCCTAAACCCTAAACCCTAAACCCTAAACGCCCTAAACCCTAAACCCTATACTATACTGTAACTTGGACCCTTTGGGGTTCTCGGGTGTTGATAGGGTTTAGGGTTTAGGGTTTAGGGTTTAGGGTTATAGGTTTAGGGTTTGGGGGAGTAGACGTAAGAGCAGCAATGGCAGTACAAGTACAGCAGCCGAAGTGTGCTGGTGGCGGTGGCGGTGGCGGCTGGGGTTTAGGGTTTAGGGTCTTACAGGGTCCAGGGTTTAGGAGGTTGTCATGATGTAGGGTTTTGCTATTTACCAGTTCTCCCATGCTGCGACCCAAAATATACACCCCTGCCCCCCAAATATCTAACCCTACCTACACTATATGCATTCATCGAAGCTTCAAAGTTAACCTTCCTTCACTGCGAAGCCGTTGTTCCTAGCATCACAATGTTCGAAAGGATATATGTCTCTACCCTAAACTCTAAACCCTAAACCCTAGACCCTAAACCCTAAACCCTGAATATATCTATATATATATATATGTATATATATATATATATGTATATATATATATATACACATCCTTGTATTTTTCTTATGTTCACTTGAATTGTGTGAGCCTCCGCTCAGGTCAGGAGGAGATCTCGGAAGATCAACTCCGCTCCGGGCCCAGAGATGACCGGGGTTTAAAAGGGGTTTAAGTGGTTTAAGGGGTTTAGGGTTTTAGGGTTTAGGGTTTAGGGGTTTAGGGTTTAGGGCTTAGGGGTTTAAGGGTTTGGGCTTTAGGGCTTTAGGGCTTTAGGCTTTAGGGGTTTAGGGCTTTAGGGCTTTAGGGCTTTAGGGTTTAGGGGTTTAGGGGTTTAGGGGTTTAGGGGTATAGGGCTTTAGNNTAGGGTTAGGGCTTAGGGTTCAGGGTCTAGGGTTAGGGCTTACGGGATTTAGGGTTGAGGGGTTAGGGTTGAGGGTTTAGGCTGTTGGATTTAGGATGTCAAGTGTATGGTCTGTATAGTTGATTTTGCGGATTTGAGGATGTTTCAATCCTTTAGAGTCCCTTACTTTCAGGATGTTCCGCTTTGCTTGAGTGGCTTCAGGATTCTAAGGTGTTCAGGTGTCGCACTTAGGGCCTATGGCTGTAGGGGAATGGGGTGCGCAGGGTTAGACATTCCCAGAGATCCCAATACCTCTTGGCTCAGAAATATACTTTAAATCAATATATCAAGGCCCGTATAATCTCAGGCATATTCCTGAGTTACGGTCTTTGATGCGTTGAAGTTTATAGCTCAGGTACGGGATCTCAAGTGATGCCTCTCGAAAGAGCGGCCCATGCCCAAAGCCCACTAAGAGCTGCTTCCCAGAGAACCCAATACCCCTTAATTAGGGAATATACCTGAAATCAAGATATAAAGGCCCCCATAATTTACGTTTTACTCCTTATTTCAGGGGTATTGGGTTCTCTGCATTATTGGGTTCTCTGCATTTTCATCCTTTCAGAAACTCCCAAACCCCCTGGGGTTGAGGGTTGAGACTGAAGAAATGGACTTCGGGACAAAAGTTGGGGTTTAGGGTTTAGGGGTTTAGCGGTTAGGGGTGTAGGGTTTAGGGTTCTGGGTTTAGGGCTTGCGGTTTAGGGTTTAGGGTTGAGGGCAAATCTTGCTAAGCGAAGGCCTCTCTCCGTTCTTAGATCGCCAGGGGTTCTGTAGTTTCTGTGCTGTTCCTGCGGCTCAACCCCAAACCCTCAACGTTCAACCATCGACCATAAACACCCAGAGACTCCAAAACCACTTAATTAAGGTATATACCTTAAATCTTACTAGGGTTCCTATTATAATTTAAGGTCTATTCCTTAATTAAGGGGTTTGGGAGTCTCTGGGCACTAAGCCCAAATGCTAAACGCTAAACCCGACAAGCCTGAACCCAAAACCCTGAATCCTGAATACCCAGAGACTTATATATATATATATATTATACCCTAAACCCTAAATCCCCTAAGCATCCCTCAACCATAAGGCTTAGTTCTCCAATACCCAATCTTTAGAAATTTTTGGGCTCCTATAGTTTAGCAGTCTGAAAATTTAACCGTGTATTTTCCTGGCTTACCCAAAGGGTCCAAGTACTAACATGGTAGCTACTTTGTAGGTATTTGGGCCCCTAAAGTATATGCTACACTATAACTTGGACCCTTTGGGTTACTGGGCAAGTAACCCTTACCCTCTAAGGACTTATATTTTAAGGCTTTTGGGCCCAAAGACCCTATTATATTAGGCTTTTGGGCTGTTTTGATGCTAGGGGATACAGATGCCATCGTGATACCCTAAACCCCTAAACCCTAAACCCCTAAACCCTAAGCCCTAAGCCCTAAGCCCTAAACCGTGTAAACCGTGTAAACCGTGTAAACCCTAAACCCTCAACCCTAAGCCGTATAAACCGTGTAAACCCTAAACCCTAAACCCCTAAAGGGCAAGTAAGAAGGTGGCATCTGGCGTTCCATGGACGCCGACCAGTCAGGCCCTGTCTCCGGGGGTTTAGTTCGGATCTGGGGCTGTACTCTAGGGGCCTTCCTTTAAAGGGTTCTATAAGGGATCTATGATGGGTTCTATATTAGGGGCCTGAATCAGTAGAATACGGGGTTTGGGGTATATTATACTGTAATTTTTAATCATTAGAATAGGGTTTGGGGTTATATGATATTATAACTTTTTATAAGGAGGCCGGGCCTTTATAAGGGCTTTGGGGGTTCCTTTAAGGAGATCCTTAATGGGTTCTGTAAGGGATTTATGATGGGGTTCTATATTAGGGGCCTTAATAAGGCTTTTGTGCGATATGTTCTTTAATGGGCTACTATAAAGGTTTAGGGTTTAGGGGCCTGAATCAATCAGTAGAATAGGCTTTTGTGGGGTATATTCTACTATAAGTTTATAATAAGGAGCCCTTACTCCAGGGGCTTGAATCATTAGAATAGGGTTTGGGGGTAAATTCTACCATAAGTTGAAAAAAGGAGCCCTGAGAGTAGTGTTGGTAATTATTTAGGCCCCTATAAAAATCCAGGCCGAATGGTCTAGCTGAGCTATGGCTCAGGGGTTTAGGGTTTAAGGTTTAGGGTTTAGGGCTTGGGGTTTAGGTTTTTAGGCGATTTCGGCGGTTTAGGGTTTGGGGTTTATTTTTAAGGCGATTTAGGCGGTTTAGAGTTTAGGGTTTGGGGGTATGGTGGGGCGTCAGATACCGTAAACCCACAGCCGGAAAGCTTAAATCCTGAAACAGGCCTCGGATCGTAAGCCAACTGATGCTTTGTATCTGCGGATATTCAAGAGTTCCTAAGTTGTCGAGGTCTGAACAATCTGCAACGAATGTCGCATATGTAGTCCGTGTAATATACACTCGAACACCCCAGTCAAAGCCCCGTTCTAACTGCGAGGCCCCTCTATTGCACCGGTTGCCTTCTAAACCCTAAACTTCCCTAAACTCTAGCAACTTTAGCCCAATAAACCGTTCCATGTCCTACAAAGAAACCCTATTCTTCCAGAACCCTCCCATGTCCTAATAAGAACCCGATCCTTCCAGGATGGGTCTCCGTGCAAGAGTTCATGGTTTGGATGCGGAGCAATGCCCGCAATCGCAACCTGCACAGGCCAGGAACCGTGCGTAAGTGCCTAGAGTTTGACAGGTTGGGCCTTTGGCGTTTAGGGTGTGGGCCTTTGGGATTTAATTTGGGATGCCACCCTGACCACTAAACCGCTAAACTGTGAGGCACCGGTTTACTCGAATTCGCTTTTCGTTTAGGTCTAGTTGTGCAGAAGTCAAATTTCCTTCAAAACCCACACCCCCAAACCCTTAATTCGATCCTGGAGGATTTTGGAGGGTTCTACAAGGGCTCGTTTTGGGAAAACTTTTGATTGTTGGGGTTCATGGCTCGGTGTGTGGGGTTCTGTGGCCACAGGCTTTCGGGCTTTAAGGCTTTTAGGGGTGAGGGGTTTGGGCCTCCGGGTTTTGTGTGTTTTTTTCGGGTTTAGAGATATTCAGACTTAGAGATCAGGGTTTGGGGTCTAGGTTGGGGATGACTGTTGAGCTATTGTAGCTCCCTTACTAGCGGATCTGGCAGCCTTCATTAAAACCTGTTGCGGAATACACAGAGTCAACCTTAAGGACGAAATGAACTTCAAAAGGTTTTCAGGTTCATATACCATATAGGGATTATAGTATAAGGGTATATAGGGCCCCTACTTATAAGGGTCATTTGGTCCCCAAGGAAGAGGATAGCCCTTTTGGTCCGCGGAGCTCAGCACGTGTTGAGCCATCGATGGGGGGGGTGCCAGACCCAGAGACACCAAAACCCCTTAGACAAGGAATAGACCTTAAATTATCATAGGAACCCTAGTAAGATTTCAGGTAGATTCCTCAATTAAGGTAATTAAGCAAAAACTGTAAACTAATAATAGGAACCCTGAACCCTAAACCCTAAACCCTAAACCTTAAACCCTAGACCCTATCTCAGGTAGATTCCTTAGTTGAGGGGTTTTGGAGTCTCTGGGTACTGCCGGCTTGTGTTCTCTAGCGATGAGCCTCCGAACCTCGGAGTCCAAAACTCCCCAGAAGCTCCAAAACCCCTCAACTAAGGAATCTACCTGAAATAGGGTCTAGGGTTTAGGGTTTAGGGTTTAGGGTTTAGGGTTTAGGGTTCAGGGTTCCTATTATTAGTTTACAGTTTTTGCTTAATTACCTTAATTAAGGAATCTACCTGAAATCTTACTAGGGTTCCTACTATAATTTAAGGTATATTCCTTGTCTAAGGGGTTTTTGGAGTCTCTGGGTACCTTCACTCGTGTTTACGGTCCATGAGCACGAACTGGGTTGCATTCTATTCAGCCCCCCGCCCCCTCCCCGCCGCCTCAAACACAACAGACACTCTAACGCTGAAATGCTGAACCCTCAACCCTAAAAACCCTATAAACCCTGTAAGCCCTAAAAACCCTACAAACCCTAAACCCTACAAGCCCTACAAACCCTAAACCCTATAAACCCTATAAACCTTATAAGCCTTTCAAACTCTAAACCCTAGAAAAGAACTACAGGGATGCAGCAGCTTCGGCTCTGTTGCTGGGGACCCAGAGAACCCAATACACTTTAAATCAGGAATAGACCTTAAAGGGCTCCTTCAAGGGATCTATAAGGGTTTAGGGCTTAAGGGAATTATGGAATATACCTCCTAAACCCTAAACCCTAAACCCTAAACCCTAAACCCTAAACCCTTAAATTATAGGGGCCTGGGCCTTGATATTCTGATTTAAGGTATATTCCTGGGGTATTGGGCTCGATGGGGAGGCACATGAACGACACAGAAGCCAAGCGCCGGCTGCTAGAGGAGCAGCAGAGACAGGCGCAGCTTGAGGGGTTTAGGGTTTAGGGTTTTAGGGTTGTGGGTTTAGGGTTTAGGGTTTTAGGGTTTAGGGTTTATTCACGGCATCTGGGAGTTTTTGAACATGGGCCTTAGTAATTAGAGTGTGGCATAGGGGTAGACCATAATACGATCATGCAGGCTGCAAGTTTTGCGGTATGTACGTATGCATGCATGTATGTCTGTATGTATGTATGTCTGTGCTGGTAATCTGTGGGCTTTATGGGCAGTTCTCTAAATTAGGGCCCGTTTTTGGGTTACCAAAATTTTATGACAGCCTTACAAAATGGACCCTAAACGGGACCCTAATTTAGAGATTTATCCTTATAATGCAGATTCAAATCAGCTTAAAGCTCATTACGGCCTTTTAGCTTCGAGTTGTCAGCTTCGAGCGCGTCGGGTTTAGGACCAAGGGCTCATGGTAATTATTACGGTTTCGGGTGCAGTTTGGGGTTTAGGGGTTTACGGCTTACGGTCCTCAACCCTAAACCCCAAACCCTAAACCCAAAACGGTCCTAAACCCTAAGCCCTAAACCCTAAACCCTAAACCCTAAACCCTAAACCCTATACCCAAAACGGTCCTAAACCCTAAGC